ATCTCGGGAAGTCTCCACATGGCTTAGATTAGGAGTCGCAGACTTCAACTCAATACAAATTCAGATAATATTTCACAATCTCATCAATCGACTCACCTATCTTGCGTAATATCCTTCTCCTGACGTCCACACGGCGATTCCACCCTATATCCTTTGTTACATGAAGTCACCCAATACTTTTTAAGAAAACCTCTAATGACTACAATTATATTACACACTAGTCCATAACTGTTAGGTATATCCTTTGACAATTGGATATAACTAAGAAGATTGGCGTGACTACGTTAATTGGGTCAGGGTTCGAACCCTCAGCCTATTGGTTGAATGTCATCCTGTGTTACTAATGATTCTCTGCTCTACAACTACAGGAAGTCATCTTAACCAGAACAAGTGGGGACCTTCAGTTTTAATTCACCTTTAAATGTTGTAACATCTAATAAGAATACTAAAACCTGATTGGTTACTTCTGTAGTCAAGTTCATCCTAGTAACTACAGAAATAACCAATCAGGCTTCTTTTATTTTTAGTTGAAAGTGTAATTTAACCTTGAGAGCCATTCCATGCTATCTGAAAGTAAAGTTTAATTCATGTAAAACCAACTTTACTGTTAGTTTGTATAGATATGAGAATCTCAGACATGTTGTAATGTCCAGTTGTTAACGAGTACCTCTAAAAGTTATCTTAGTAATCTCACTGAAATAACGAACCAATCAACTTCCTCGAGAATATCTAGAAAATTAGCCATTTCAGTACTTCTTGGAATATTCAATGAATCAAGGTGAGTAATAGAAACAAGGTCTAGTCGATAGATAATATGTAGAAGTTTAAGACCACGTGTATGCAAATCTTCGACTTTTCTCCTCGGATTTCTAAAGTTTCATTAGGCGGATGTGCAACTTTTTTCCACTTTGAAAGAGAGAACCATAGTTGAGATTGAATTGACCAGTGTTGAAAAGGGGTTTCATGCCGGATGATGTTCTTAAACCTTATTTGGACAGGATTCACATATTTATTTATTATTTATGTGTCCTTTGGGTTCCTAATGGAACATAGGGCTTTAGTATCACGCCTTCATTCCACTCTGTTCTCTGCAATCTTTTGAACCCGACTCCATGACAGCCCACAAGCTCTCACTTCCTCCTCGCACGATCTCCTCCATGTCACCGCCACCTCGAACGCCCAACTCGTCGTTTCCCATCTGAGTTCCACTCGAGACACTGACGTGGCGCGTGATGTCTCCAGTTGGCCTTCTCAGTGTATGCCCAATCCATCTCCACTTCCTTCTAGTGCATATTTGTTCAGCGATAGGTTCTTGCTTCGTTGGTTCGTCACCAGCCAGAGTGAGTTTCTTGTTCTTATTCTTATTATTCTGGTCATGTGATCTTCAGTAAGGAGCCAGCGTAGGTGGCAGTTGTTGATGAATATCTATAGTTTTCCGGAAGTGCTTTCGTAACGCTCCAAGTCTCTGAGCCATACAGAAGCATTGACTTGACTGAATTAGTGTTGAAAATCTGGATGTTGTTCACGCTTTATGCTGAGTGAAGGAGATCTCCACATTGATTTCAGGTTGCCTTTCCAATCCTGTCTTTCACGTCCTCATCTGTGCCGCCTGTAGTTGAAACAGTGCTGCCTAGATAGGTGGAAGAGACAACTTCCTTTAGGTTTCTCCGGTTAGTGGTGATTAGTGCCTCTTGTTATTGATGCTGTTGTTAGTTGGGTATCATCATCACCTATGTCTTCTCCACGTTCACTTGAAAGGAGTCCCGTCTCTGCTGTCCTGCCCCATCTGTCAACTTGTTAGTTTTCGCCTATACATCTTCAAGTTTGTGTGATATTGGACACAAATCATCGTTGGCGAAATCAAAATCTTCTAGGTTCTTTTCTGCGGTCCAGCGTATCCACCTCTTCTCGCTCCTCACTGTTTGCTGCATGATCCAGTCGACCACAATGAGGAATATCATGGGGGTAGTAGGCAACCTTGTTTCACTCCTGTCTTCACTTGACCTCAAAGGCATCACTGAGCTTCCCATTGTGAATTACTTGGCATGTGGCGTCTTCATATAGTTGTTGAATGAGGCTGATAAAGGTTTGTTGTATTCCGTAGTATTGAAGCAGCTTCCAAATTACCTCTCAGTCGACGCTGTCAAAGGCCTTTTCAACGTCGATGAAGTTGAGGTGGAGACAGAGAGAGTTGACTGGTATTCTATACTTTGTTCTATGATGATGCATAGCCTAGTGGTGCAATTTGGTCTGCAGATGATTTGTACTTCGTGAATCCAGCCTGCCTGTTCCGGTCGTAGTTTCGAATCCAGCGATTCGCATAGAACAACTGAAATACCTGGCTGTATACGAGCAGATGAACTGACACACGCACACATACAAAAGATGGCGAAGTGTGAAATTTTGTCTTTAAGGTTTGTTGCGAAGTAAAAGAAGACCAAAGGGTATTCTCTTCAAGAAGCTTGTGCATATCACGGGATAACATGTTGAATTCCTCTTCCGATCTTTACGGAATATGATAAATGACTTATACCTGTGTCGCGTATGTCGATACACTGTCGTCTACTCCTCTCTATCCAATAGGTAAGACTTATGGGTTGAAAGAGGGTTCACGATGTAGAGACCAATAAGGCGATACAAGTCGATGAAGCGTCTTCTTAGCAGTCTGGCGTGCTTGAGACCAATAAGAATTAGTGGATAAGGATTGATTCTTGTTGAAATGGCGTAGAGTTGAAGACACATGTCACTCAAAGATCAATGTATACAACTCGCATTAGCTTACAGTTGTATGGACTAATGTCTGTAGTGATAATTGTACCAGATTCACTGATTATTTTGGATATCTCATTATTGTCGAAAGTTTCTGTTCGATAGAAATGATGGGTAATAGCCAGAATGAGCGTCTTGTCCTAATCAGAACTCATGAGGTGGAAATGGGTGTAGTCAAAGATATTTCGGGGTTATGATACAGAATTTTCAGTACATCATATCGTATTAATTGGACAGTGGGGTACTGGTCATTTGATAAAATAACTCCTACTAGCTGATTGCATGTTTTTGATGTCTGTTCAGAACAATAAGGAGGCTTAGGAGCCACACTATTCTAGTTCCATTACATTACATAAGGTAGTCAGCAATCTAGGAAACAGATGTAGACGATAAAGAAGAGAGTAAGCAAGATGTTGAAGGTTAATAAAACATGAGAGAAGAGGTGTGTATATCGATTAAGTTAGAGGGAAAATTCTTCTGGACATTAGTCAGAGATAGAAAGAGCAGAAAAGGTTTGAAGAAAGATAAATCATTTTAGTTGGAAACAATCTGTTGAAAAGGTGACATGTGTGGAGATTGTCAAATGATACAGAAAGCAAGAGAAAAGAATGGGGATAAAGGATATCACCGTTATCCACTACTCAGTATATCTCCCAGCTGGGTTGTTCATTAAAAGAGATCTTGAAGATGGAAATAAATGCTCAAATGGATTGTAAAAAGACACTTATAAGCGTAATGGACGAATCATCCAACCAACTACGAGGAACAAGAAGATGGAGATATACTGAACAGATGAAAAGACCCTAAAAGATTTGGATTTCACGCATGATGATTTGTGTCTAATGTTGCACAAACTCAAAGATCCATAGAGGAGGCAGCAAAAATGGGACTTCAAGTTAACGTGGAGAAGACGGAGATGATGAAGATACCCAACCAACAAACAACAACAAGCATCAATCATCATGAACAAGAGAAATGTGAAGAAAGTTGTCTCTTCCACCAAACTACCTTGGCAGCATCGTTTCAACTACAGACGTCACAGGTACAAATGAGGACAAGAGAGATCAGTATGAAGATCTACTGCATTGCAGTGCACCGCACTCAGCATAAAATGTGAAGAAGATGGGGATTTGCAACAGCACTTGAGTGAAGTGAGAGGTTTGCTTCTATGTGATGGTTGAGAGAGAGAGAGAGAGAGACTTGGTGGATAGGAAAAGCATTGCCAACAAAGTATAGATATATATGATGGATAGGTGGTGCCTAGTGTCAGTGTATGGTGAAGATGAGATGAGGTGATATGAGATGATGATAAAGAATAAGGAAGGAGGTATTTTGGCTGAGTGGGAATGAAGTGACGAAGCAGAAATCCATCGTCCAATAATTCCGCATAAGAAATAAGTGGAGGACAGCATGCAACAGGCCGTGGAGTGGAAAGCATATGGTGACTTGCTACTGAAACTGTATGTTTCACTAAGAACCTAGGAGACATATATGATGGATAGGTGGTGCCTAATGTCACTGTATGGTGAAGATGAGATGAGGTGATATGAGATGATGATAAAGAATAAGGAGGGAGGTATTTTGGCTGAGTGGGAATGAAGTGACGAAGTAGGAATCCATGGTGTAGTAAATCTTCCTAAGAAATAAGTGGGGGACACTATGCGCCAGTCCGTGGAGTGGAAGGTATATGGTGACTTGCTACTGAAACTGTATGTTTCACTAAGAACCTAGGAGACATATATGATGGATAGGTGGTGCCTAGTGTCACTGTATGGTGAAGATGAGATGAGGTGATATGAGATGATGATAAAGAGTAAGGAGGGAGGTATTTTGGCTGAGTGGGAATGAAGTGACGAAGTAGGAATCCATGGTGTAGTAAATCTTCCTAAGAAATAAGTGGGGGACACTATGCGCCAGTCCGTGGAGTGGAAGGTATATGGTGACTTGCTACTGAAACTGTATGTTTCACTAAGAACCTAGGAGACATATATGATGGATAGGTGGTGCCTAGTGTCACTGTATGGTGAAGATAAGATGAGGTGATATGAGATGATGATAAAGAATAAGGAGGGAGGTATTTTGGCTGAGAAATAAGTGGGGGACACCACGCGCCAGTCCGTGGAGTGGAAGGCATATAGCGACTTGCTATTGAACCTATAGGAGTACTGTATATCTCTTGTTTTATTGATTTCTTCAATATTTTCTTTCTTTTTTTTTTCCCTTCATTATAGATAATGCATATACGTGAAGCTACTGAATTAGATTTAATTCATGCAAAAAAGGATGATTTATGCCGAACTATACAATTATTCTATCAGAATTCAACAAAAATTCATCATCTCTATGAAATGAATACAAATGATGAAGGTGATATAGACTTATCAGATAGTATAAGTTTAATGTCAATATCCCAACAACAAACATTGAGATTACCTAATAAATCAACTCAAGAGTATACTACTACTACTAGTACTACTACTAATCCTGGTGTTAATAGTAGTATTGGCAGTAGTAGTAGTAGTAGTAGTAATACAATTCAATGGATGAATCATAGTTTTCAATTAATGCGTTTTCATCTTGGCAATGTATTATGTGATGTATGTCATAAAAATTGTTCAGATTTATTAAATCCACCGAAAGCTTTAGAATGTCTGCATTGTCGTATGCGTATTCATTTTGAACATGTTGATAAACATGAAAAATTTATTGTATGTCATAATGCAACTAATGTACGTTATCTACGTATGTCGAATACAATAGTGAAAAAGATATGGATAGAAGAAATTATTAAATTACGACAATATTATAAAGAATTACAAAATAATATACCAGAACAATTGAATGATATCGATGGGAATACTACTAACAATAATAATAGTAGTATTGTACATATGAAACCAATTTATCGTAGTCTACGTGCTGGATCATTAGGACCTATAGGTATACAAAGTATAACATTGAATCAAAAAGCTGATAGTATAAATTATCTTCAATATTCATTTCGTAAAAAATTTATTAGTGGTACTAATACACCGACATGTAATACAATGACGACACATGGGATTCATGTTACATCATCACTATCACCTGGTTCAATTTCACCAGCGCTTACATTTCCTAAGCTTGAAGATAATTAAACAAGTAATAGACTGTTTGTTTATTGATTATTGATACTTTTCTCTCTTATTTGACTATTTTTTGATGAGTTTTTCTGGTGTGTGTGTGTGTGTGTGTGTGGATGATGCCAGCGGTTTCAACAGGAGTCAATCATCATCTCAAGTATTCACTTCTATTGAATTTTGTCAATATAAGTAAGTAATATTTATTTATACTGTAGACAGGAAAGACAAATCGGTTTAATTATACCATTGTACATAGTGATATTTTATTTGATAAATTCTCTACTACTGAAATACACAAATGCCTCATTCCGACTTCATTTTTTTTCCATCATATAACCATACATAACCTAGTGGATATATGTTTCAACATAATACCAGTTTCGTCAGCAGTGGTGCCATGGATCACTCTCAGAGTCTCCAAGTATAGTGAATAATGAGGTGAGTGATGAGCACTGTTGGAGTCGAAAGTCTTTTCTAGTCTTTTCAATACTTCTACCAACTGATGTTTCTACAACAAATGGATAAGGCAGGAAACTTGCTTTGTATATGAATCTCTTATCATGTGTGCGTAAGTCTTCATCTATCTCGTCTTTGAATAGACACTTGATATTTTTGTCTAATGGAAGAAGTCTAGAGGCTTCCAGACTAAAATATAACATCAGTGGAATAAAGTGTTTGAGTATTGGTTTGATCGATGTGCGGTGATGCAGACTAGGTGGTTTGGATCCGCAGGACAAGAGAAAGTGCAAGTGGTTGGAGACTGTAGGTGATTAGATGGCTGAGAACCGTTGTCAGTGGCTCAGACATATACATAGATTATCTTCTTCTTCCACTTCACTGACTTGTTTACTTGATATATTAATTTGATGAAGTGTGGCAAGTCGAAATGTTAGAGAGAAATGCCTGGTCCCATGTTGATGGATGCTTCACTCGTGTTTATTTACTGCGACCTGTACTTTAGAAGTCCACAGATATTTTCTAATCAACATAGGATCAGGCATTACTGCGTAACGGTCCGAGTTGCCACACCTCATATCAGCACATCAAGTAAGAAGGTAGTGAGGCGAAGGATGAAGATAAGTGAATGCAGTCAAAAGAAATATCAAGTACGAAAAGAGAGAAACGAAGAATGAGAAAGTGGTGAGATTCGGTATATCTTCGTTAAGATGAGGATAATGTGTGTATACATCTGCGCCACTGACATCAGTTCTGAGCAATATCACCTAGGGTGTCCAACAAGCACTGGTTCCTCTTGTCCTGTGGACCTCAACCACCTAGTCTGCATCGTCCTACATGGCTTAAACCAACAGTCAGAGACTTCATGCATTGGTACCATGTTTTAGTCTGGCCACCTCGGGAAACAACAATCCTCTTTCAACGATGACTGTGTCCATCGGTCGTTTGATGTTGGTCGAGGTTAAGTGACACAATGTTTATGATTTTGACTGAAATTAGCGCTAGTCAGCAACAAGTGCTTATCAGAGATGATCACCGTTGTCGTCGTTCAACTATATATACTTTCCCGACAGATTCAACTTCCCCAGATTCAGGAAACGTATCATATTACATGGATGACTTGAAATTCTAGATATTCGGCAAGTCACGCGTGTTGTCCAATTTAGTATAGGATTTGAATGTTCATAGATCTCGTGTTAAATTGCTGGCATACATTTAGGAGACTAGGATATGTATTTTCATGGTTTCGGACCTTAGCTCAATTGGTGTACGTTTACAATTTCATCAGTTGACTAACTTTGCCCAGGTATGAAGTGACTGAGTAGAATAAGATGTAGGTAATAACGATACTCAATGCAGTAGTACACCAGAAGTGGATGCCAGCACCTGATTCTTCACTAAGTCAAGGAAATATCAAAGGAAAAAGGCTGATTTGTGACTCCAAGGACGGCCTTGGCTTTATTTAATATACTACAGCAATCAGGTTGTAAAGTGTCGTTGAAAAAAGCCTGTCTAGATAATTAACTTCCATTCAGTAGATTATAGGTCTCATTTCTGTCTTACCTATCAAGGTTTTCCGCAATCATGTACGGCGCATAAACTTCATTGATTAGTTACTGGGGCTAGTGATTAAATATCCGACTGTATTGCATTGTATGGTGAGTGGAATACTTCAAAGAGTAAGTCAGTAAAACTTTGTAAACTATGCTTTTACGACACAAACCCGGATGAAAGTGTCATTGAGTCACTTTGAAGTATCCATCATACAAGATTAGGTAATATGATTATCCTACTGAAATGAACCAATCAGAGAGGATAAAGAAAATGAAGTGAGACTATATACGCTGTAGCCGGTAACGATGAATAGATATCGAGTATCAGCCGCCAACATTCAACTTATTCTTAGTGGATTCCGACGCAACTAGTTCATGGAGAAAACACGGTGAATGTGTATTGTGGTGTGGGCGGTAGCGCTGAAGAAGACAAGAATAAAGGAGAATACAAACTAGTCATTTGTCTCTATCCCCATCTTCGTAGTATAGGCCGTATTCCGTGGTGTCACCACTTGAGTAATGCAGAAGTCAGGAGTAGAGTTTTAGGGAGAAGAGGTAAATTAGTTGATACGCTTGTGAACCTTCATCGACTGAGATGGTTAGGACGCGCGTTACAGTATATCTAGTCGCCGATCACCTGAAGTAGGTTCAAGCTGGAAAAAGGCCCGAGGTGGCCAAACTAAAACATGCCACCAACGTATGAAGTCTTTGGCTGTTGGTTTGAGTCATGTGGGTGGGGTGGTTGGGGTCCATGGGACAAGAGGAATCAGTGATTGGAGACTGTAGATGATATGGCTGAGAACCGATGTCAGTGGCGCAGATTTATACACACATTATCCTCATCTTAACGAAGATATACCGAATCTCACCACTTTCTCATTCTTCGTTTCTCTCTTTTCGTACTTGATATTTCTTTTGACTGCATTCACTTATCTTCATCTTGCGCCTCACTGCCGTTTAACTTGATGTGCTGATATGAGGTGTGGCAATTTGGAGCGTTACGCAGTAATGCCTGGTTTGATGTTGATCTGGATGGATGGATCTATCCCTATATAATCTCCCTCTTCGAAAGTATTTTATTTGAGAGTCAGACACAGAGGGAGTTTCTTCTTGCTTACTGTAGGATCAGTAGCCTTTTTATTATTATTTCGGCGGGCAAATGTACGAGCATAAAAACCAGCTATCAAGTCGAGAGTTAGATCTGCGGCGGTATCAGGTGGATGACTTTCGTACACGTCGTTGTGTATTTTGGCGACAAAAACTATCCTTATGGCCGATATCATCATAGTCTTGGCGTTGTTGTTGTTTAGGTGGACAAGATTTGATGAAATGCCAGGCACCACAAGAACAATGGAGGTGCCTCCTTCAGGGGTCGGTTGGTATCGCATGAGCTATTGGGTTGATGATGTGGAGGAATGAGATATCTGGCGAACTGTATGTACTTCAGAACCACCTTTGTGTCTGGATTGGACCAAACTTGTGTCACAGTCTAGGTTACCGAGTCGTTGATATTATGTACGTACGTCATTTAGTATCTGAAGTGTGGCGTCGAAAATTCGATCACTTGGGTCGTGCGGTGAAATCATGTTGCAGTATTGGTTGAAATCAGATGGAAAAAGCTTTCAAAGTGGAAGACGTACAAACCAGGAATCATCTTGGTCAAGAAATTCACTTTGAAGTAGTCTTGGTAATGCCTGAATCAACTGATGGAGGCGTTCTTTGTCCGCATATCAATTGAACTGCACCTTACTGACTGGAATCCATAAGGATAGCCAATCAGGTTGGAGATAACTCATTCAAGGTATTCATTACGTCCATTTACCATGTTATCTACTCAGTATAAACGTTTGATAAACATTAATTGCTGGTTGTAGATCTTGTCGCTATAGCTGAACATCTTGTTCAAAAACTTGAACATAATCTAAGAAGACGACTTATACACAGACCCTATTGTTTAGAAAAATCATTTTGTTGGTTGAACAACTGTAATACCTACAAACAACTTTAAACATATATGAAGTTGTCATAGAAATTTCTTTAAACCTTTAACGAAACACTGTAATGATGAGTAGTGGCTAGCAATGGAATACAGGATGCGTGTTTCCTCCTATTTGGGACTCGTCAGCTGGATGTATCAGCCTTCCAGTGCGGAGTGATAATGTTCACACTGGGATTTGGACTCGCAGTGATCGCGTGAAACGCGAGAGCGTTATCCACTACACCACCGAGCCACGATAGCCACTTCTTGTGCGACGGGTATAGGTTCAGTGTTATTGCTTGTATGACACCGTCGTTGATTGGATCGAATTGATCAGTCTCCATTGGCATATGGGCTTCAATCCAATCAGCGACGGCGAAATACAAGCAATAACACTAAACCTATACCCATCGCACAAGAAGTGGCTATCGTGTCTCGGTGGTGTACGAGATAACGCTCTGTCGTTTGAAGTGATCGCTCCCTAGTCGGAGTCCCAGTGTGAACAACATGACTCCGCACTGGGAGGCAGGTACATCCAGCTGACTGATGAGTCCCAAATAGGACGAAATGTGCATCTTGTATTCCATTGCTAGCCACTGCCCATTATTATTATTTGTCGCTTTCGTTCCTGTGGGAACATAGGGCTTCAGCAGCACGTCTCCAGTGAACTCTGTTCTCTGAAATCTTTTGAACCTGGCTCCATGACAGCCCACAAGTTCTCATTTCCTCCTCACACACCATCTCCTCCATGTCACCCTTGCCTCGGACGCCCAACTCGTCGTCCCACTCAAGTGACTGGCCTGACGCGTGATGTCCCCAGTCGGCCTTCTCAGTGTATGCCCAATCGAATCAATCTCCACTTACTTCCACTGCATATTTGTTCAGCGATAGGTTCTTGCTTCGTTGGTTCGTTGCCAGACAGCCAGAGTTCCTTGTTGCTCATTCTTTCTCGCCATCTCAGCTTCAGCAACCAGCAAAGGCAGTTGTTGATGAATGTGTGTAGTTTGTTGGAAATCCCTTTCGTAACG